CATACATTAAATAGAAAACAATCGTAATCCTTGCTCCGCAATTTATTTCCAGTCTCTGTTTTAAGGTTTACGATAGATTAAAAAAAGAGCAGCCTGACTTTATTACTAAAGTAATAATGATAGAAGCCGACTTCAGCGAAGCAAATCTAGGCTTGTCGTCGGAAAACCGAAAACATCTCTTAGACACAAACATAATCTTCCATTTAGCGGCGTCCGTGCGATTTAATGATACGATTCGAAATGCGGTGCATGTTAATGTGAGAGGAAACAAAGAAATTCTCCTCTTCGCGAGAGAGATGCCGAATTTAGAGGTGCTGTTTCAGTCATATCTCATTCTCATAGACGCATAATTAAACTCACATTGATCTTTTGATTGTTTTTTATTTAGGCATTTGTTTATACATCAACCGCATTTTCTCAGTGCGTGAACAATTTTATCGATGAGAAATATTATTCTCCGCCTTTAGAGACGGATAAGATACTGACGTTACTCAACGTTTTGGACGATGAGATGTTGAGCAAAATAACGCCAACGTAAGTGCTCTTTCGAAAAGTTCAAACGGCGCATTCTTCGACCATAGTTTACTCGATATCAAACGTGCGCGATAAGAATTCTCATAAAATATTTATTCTTTTTGCATCGGACGAGTACAGACTAGTAGGCGAATGGCCGAATACTTACGTGTACACCAAGGCGATTGCCGAGGATACAGTGCGACAATACAGCGCCGGGTTATCAGCTTGCATCATACGTCCTTCGATTGTAACATCAACGGCGAAAGAACCGATACCTGGATGGATCAACAACATATATGGTGCAGTAGGCGTAATTGTGGGCAGTGGCATGGGTTTGCTACGTACTTTACATTGCGTGCCTGAAAATACAGCGGATATTATGCCCGCTGATTACGTGATAGCGAACATTATCGTTGCAGGTTGGGACACCGCCAAAAGAAAGTAAGTTGACATTTGGAAAAATGGACCTTTGTCATATATCTTATATTTTTTTCGTTTTTAATATCTTATACTTTTTTTGGTTTAATATCTTACATTTTTTTTCGTTTTTAATATCTTATATCCTTTTTCGTTTGTAATATCTGATATTTTTTTTATTTTTAATATCTTATACTTTTTTTTTAACATGCTTTTCTTATTAGGGATACTTTACTCAGCATTGACAACAAAAACTCGAACGTTCCGGAAACCGAGAGAATTCCGATTTACAACTGCGTGTCGTCAACTCAAAATCCTATTACTTGGGAAAGGTTCATGAAATTAAATGAGAAATACGGCAAGCGTGTGCCGAGTACGATGGTCATCTGGTATTACATGTTCACGCTAAATAGATACCGATTTATGCATGAGATATATATGATATTTTTGCATATAATACCTGGTGCTATACTTGACGTTCTGGCTTTCCTCATGGGCCGAAAACCTATGTAAGAAAATTATTAAATTCCTTCGAAATTAAAAAATATATGGTGCGTTATTAATAATATAAGAGCTAAAATAGAGGAAGGTTTTGACAAATAGCGCCAGTTTCGAGACCTATAAAATTTTAAAACCTATAAAAAGATAAAG